CCCCCCCCCCCATGAGTTCGGTTTTGAATGGGGATCCCCCCCCCACCCATCTTTTTAAAGATTTTTATCAAAATAATTAATTGTTTCTCCACCTGTTTGCTCGGGAGATGTATCTTGCTCGGCTTGTGTAGGCCAAAGAAAGCAGGGTCGAAACCTGACATCGCAACATGAGGAGAAAGTAAAGAGAAGATTGTAATGTTTCATTGTTGTCTTTTAATTCTTCTTTAAGCTTTCATGCTTCAAACTACCCTGCACTATACCCCCCCCCTCTCCCCATTAAAGCTGCTTTGGAGGTTGGGACACATACCTTTTTCTCTCTTTCCTTGCATTTCTTTTTCGTAATGTTCTTTGCACTCATGGGCACTATTTATGTATTGTAAGAGCGACTGCTCAAGCAGTGCCTGTCCCGTTCAACTCTGACCGAGAACGATACGGCATCCATAAACTTGATTTGTAAAAACTGCTCTTTTGGGAATCGATATCATTATTAAACATCTACCGGCGCTCATATGACCCAATACAGTTGCGAGCGCCGTAAAACCCTCTACTAAAAAAAATACCTACCACTTTTTTTTATTACCCCCCCCCCCTCTCCCCTCGCCGAAAAAGTATAAATTTGTTTCAAACCCAATTTAAAAAAAAAGAAATTGTCCTCTTCAGGCCCTCATTCTTGAAACAAGATGACATCGTCTTTCGCGCATGACGTGACGGCTACCCTGTGTTGGCCTCACAGAGAGTAGAGACCTCGGTTGTGCGTAATAGGTCAAGTGAATTCCGAATGGAGGGCTCAAGCAGGCCTTCCTCCAATAAATGAATAAATAGATAAATAAATAAAAAAGAATAATAATAAAAAGAAAAAAACAACAACATATGGGCGATAACTATAACTTACAGTTAATACATAAATTTCAAAAATAAATTACACTTTATTGATCCCTTTGGGGGAAAGTTTTGTTACAATAGCAGACATACATACATAACTATGTAATTCAGCACTCAAATATTATTATACACGTAAAGAATACCAAATACACAATAAAATATGATTACAAAAATGCAGAATGCAGATGGATTCCACTGACATGATGCCACCATTTCTGGTCGTCACTGTGCAGTGCCCTGCATTATGAGCTTGGGTTATCGTGTCTTGCTCAAGGACACACACCAGTGTCCACCCATCTGAACCAAACCCCGTATCACCTACGCTTGCTTGCCATCATTTTTTTAAAAGCCTGAACTCACTGACCACCCCATCTCCTTCAACTGCCCACAGATTCCCCTGACCCTTACAAGCTGGACCTGTCGGTCAAGCCCCGCAAAGAGCGCACAGCCTTCACCAAGCACCAGATCCAGGAGCTGGAGAAAGAGTTCACACTTCACAACTACCTGACCAGGCTCAGGCGCTATGAGCTGGCCGTGGCTCTGGATCTCACGGAAAGACAGGTGGGCGGGGCCTATTTGTGCTGCTGCTGCTGCTGCTGCTGCTGTTGTAGCTGTTGTTGTTGTTGTTGTTGCTGTTGTTGTTGCTGTTGTTGTTGTTGTTGTTGTTGCTGTTGTTGTTGTTGTTGTTGCTATAATGGTGAAGGTGGTTTTGTGATCGATGTTGTTGTTGGTATTATTTTTATTGTAATTATTGCTGTTGCTGCTGCTGTTGTTGTCGCTGTTGTTGTTATTGTTGCTGTTGTTGTCGTTGCTGTTGTTGTTTTTATAGTGGTGAAGGTGATGCTGTGATCTCTGTTGTTGGTATTATTTTGGTGGGTTTTTTTTAAAGTGGTGAAGGTGGTGTTGTGGCTGTGGTTGTTACCGTTGTTGTTATAGTTGTTGTCGTGTTTTAAAAAAATACTTAGGAGGTGTTACAATCCTTGTCGTTATTGTTGTTATTTCTGTTGTGTTTTAAAAACAAAGGTAATGTTGCAACCTCCGAGGCTTTTGCTGTTGTTCTGTGGCAGTGGTCTGCTTTTTTTTTCAGAGATGGTGTTGTGATCGTTGCTGCTATTGCTGTTAATTGTTGCATCAATGGTACTTTTTTTTTTAGTCGGATGATGTTGTGATAATTGTTGTTATTGTTGTTGCTGCTATTGTTATAGTTGCTTTTCTTGCTGTTTTAGTTATAGGGGTGGTGTTATAGGATAGCTGTTGTTGATACTCTTGTTATCATTTTAAAAAACGTTGTTTCTGCTCCTGTTTCTGCTGTTGTGTTGGTATAGGAGATTGCGTTGCTGTTTGCATTTGGTCGCTTTTAAGGACAAGCGGGCTAACCAAGATTTCGGGAGTTTCTAGAAATTTTGACCTACACCAAAAGTGGGCATTGCCATGCCTATAGGAAAAGTTTGATTTCAATTGTGTGTATATTTGTTTGGTTACAGAGAAAAATATCCTGGTCTTTTAAAGAAACTGAACAGTGGGCAAAAACCTTATCTTCGGTTTTCTCAAAACAGCTTTTTTCGAGATAGCCCCCATGTGCTTAAAAGCGACCAATTATTGCTCTTGTGGTTGCTCTGACTGCTGTGGTTATCGTTGGTGCGGTTATTGTGGTTTTGTTGTTGTTGTTGTTGTTGTTGTTGTTGTTGTTGTTGTTGTTGTTTATGTGCTTTCGGCTTAGCTTGTGTTTTTTTAAACTTGTTTTTCTGTTGTGCTGTTTCTGTGCTTTTGTGCACGAGTGTTACGTTTTTGCTCAGTGCTAAAATCGAATAATTGTGTATCATTACTTTTAAGTTTACGTCAGTAAGTGTCGTATGAAATCTGATTGGACATAGATATTTACTTCTATCAGTGATACATATTATTATATGAAAAGCAGTCATGTAGTTTTACGAATTAGAAGGGTGGTAGCCTTTGTAGCAAATTTTATTGTACTTTGTTTGCCTGGCTAATATGCAAAATATAGGTATACGCCGGCTGGCAGCACGTAACCACACACACACACACACACACACACACACACACACACACACACACACACACACACACACACACACACACACACACACACATACACGTACACACATACACGTACGCACGCATACTAATATACGTACACACACTTACATACATTATATGCAAATGAATATGTGTACTTGTATTGTTGTGCATAATATGAAAGTGGTCACTCCGATCACTGGCCGATAAAAAGGAAGTTAGTTTTGTGATAATGTATCTTTTAAGGAAATAATTACAACCTCCCCTCCACCCCCCACCCCCCCTATTTCTTTCTTTCTCTTCATCTCCCCTCCCCCTCATCCCTCCTCAAACAGGTGAAAGTTTGGTTTCAAAACCGCCGAATGAAATGGAAACGAGTCAAAGGGACAAAACTGGTCAAAGACAAAGTGGATGGACAGCTAAAACCAATCATGGCGCCGAATGTGACGTCAACCCAACATAGCGGCGCCTGCGTCACTTCCGGTCTTCCCGGTGTTCCGCCGGATGTTTTGGAGAACGGAAGTCGAGACGACGGGGACGATTTGTCTGACAGTATGGACGATATGTCGGACATGGCAGGAATGGCCACGATGTCCTAACGACCTTCACCTTTCCTTCATAGACCGTGCGCGCGTTGTTATGATTATGGCAAGGAAAAGAGAGAGGGTGTGTGTGTGTATATATGTATGTGTAATGTGTGTATGTGTGTGTGTGTGTGTGTGTGTGTGTGTGTGTGTGTGTGTGTGTGTGTGTGTGTGTACACGTCTTTGTATGTTTGTTTCCAATGCATGAGTAAGTGTGTGTGTGTGTGTGTGTGTGTGTGTGTGTGTGTGTGTGTGTGTGTTGAGAGGGAGAAAGAGAGAAAGAGAGAGAGAGAGAGAGAGAGAGAGAGAGAGAGAGAGAGAGAGAGAGAGAGAGAGAGAGAGAGAGAACGAGAGAGAGAATCTGTATTCAGATAATCATCTCAGCTGGAAGATGGAGAGTACGTTACAGAGACTCCATACACAGAATTTTGAGAGGAAAACCTTTATTGGCGACTGTATAAAACCCCTGTGGATCTCAAAGTCGTAAAGACAAGTGAAAATATTTCAAGGCTGTTCGATTTCATACTTCCGGCCGGATCTTTTCTACCTAGAGTATATTTTGCATTTGGCCTCCAAGTCAAATGGTTTATTAATGAAACAATTTTAGTTCTGTTTTATTGTGCGAACTGCAAGATGCAAGACGAATTCAAACATACAGAATTGACTGAAGCATTTTCTTTTTAAGTTTTGTTGTTGTGAAACTCTACATGGATGGATCTGGAGTGCACTCAGTAATATCAGCTGGTGCCGACAACCCGGTTTCAAATCTCCAACCGAGACGATTTTGAACTTCGGTCGTTTGTACAGCTTTTGTGGCCTTCCTCTTCCTCATGGCTAGGTTATATCGGAGAAGGAAAATGTCTCAGAGCTCAGAGGTTCTGAGAGAATTCTATTGTAGGCAAGTGAACCCATGCCACACGAGACGACGCTGCTTCAATGCTGACCAAAAAAAAAAGTTGTAGGATTTTCTAAGTGTATGTGCTTGATATAGTGCGTTGACTAAGTTGGTATCGTGCTGGACTACTATGTCAACTACCCTGATTCAAATTTCTCATTGGAAATTTTTAAAAAACTTGGATCGTTTTTTGAGTTTGCATGGCTTTCCACCCACCACATGGTTCGGTTCCAGCGGAGATGGACTTTGAATCCATTATCCGCTCGAATGTTTTAGGTTTGAATCCAAGTGGAAGTTCAAATAATTCTACGTACCCTTCCTGGAAAAGTTTGTCTTAGCCGCCCAGGGTCAAGGTATGTGAACTAGTGCAGTGCCTTACTATTATTTGTTTTACGCGTTGAGGCGTTAAACTTCAACAACAGCAGCAACAACAGCAAAAACAATAACGAAGACGACAACGACGACAACAACGAAAACCACAAAACGACAGCAACATAAACAACAACAACATCAACTAAAAAATCCCCCCAGCGACAACGACTACAACGACAACAACAGCTACGACAATAGCGATTAAGTATGCTTGCTAAAAAGTATAGACTAGAACCACTAAAAAAAATCCCAATTAAATACAGACAAATGATATTTTTGATTAGGATGATATAATATCAATTATTATTGCCAGTCATACAGTGGAGTTGATTCCGTGACGGGGCCTGGGTTCTTTATTAGTTGTTTTTAAAAATGTTTTATTTGTTGCTTTTTTGAGTGGATAGCGTTGATCACTCTTTGTCTCCTTTGAGTGAGGCGGCCAGAGGGCAGAAGATAGAGGTATATTAAATCCGCTGTCGCGTCAATAGGAGGCACAACTCCTCTCTGAACTCTGATGGAGTGTGGTTTTTATTTCAACAAGGTACACGTATCATTTTCCCCGTTTGTACAATGCCACATCTTCTACCTCAGATAACTGGCGCTTCTTTAACTTGGTGAAGCGGACACATCAGAATTTCAAAGTTCTATCTGACATTTTTGGTTCGTTTTGAGTTATTGCAACCACGAGGAAAGAAACCAAATGTTATATCTGCTCTATCAAAATCGTAAAATTCTTCAGAATCCTTATCAAGATATTAAAAAAAAACTGCATTCGAAAAAGCTTGGCATGTCGTGAACCTAAAAAGTTTTAACATCAAATTTCTCAGAACTAGGCACTGAACAGACAGAACTTTGTAATTCTAGGTTTGTGATATGTCCGGCTAGCAGAAGACAAAAGGAAGATGCTGCGGTACATTTAAAGCCATCATACACAAACCTGAAACACACAAGTTTGCACACTTCATTGTATGTATATTATTGCATAAAGAAAACGGAATGGAAAAACCTGTTTAAAGAACAGAGTCCTGCTTTTCTTTTTCCAAGTGCCCCACAACTGTGCGTTTTCAGGTGTTGTAAATGAACAGTACGAGCGTTGTCAAAGAGGTAAATCAAAGGTTCACATCTGCCAACATTTTTAAAAGTACAGTATATACAGTTGTTTTGTTTGTTTGTTTGTTTGTTTGTTTGTTTGTTTGTTTGTTTGTTTGTTTTTACAATTTTAAAGGAGAGCCAAAAACAAAAACCCAACCAAACAAATAACCAAAAATAAATAATAAAAACAAAAACAAACGGAATGTTATTACCAAGGAAATAGCATT